TAACCAGTATCTCTCCCCTGTGGTACACAATTTAGTTCTCTGAAGACTGAACTATTTAGTCTAAATAAATTCTTTGGGCTTAATATTGAGTAGTTGGGTGAAACATTATGACCTACAGGAGGTGAGATGAGATCACCTGACAAAGCCAGAAGGGACCAATTTCTGTGAAACCTCTTGAATTGAGAAACTTATGAATTGACTATTTCCTCCCATGTGCCAGAAAAAGGAATACTCAAATCCATTCATGCAGCAAGTTGCAGTTACTAGGTTCTACCTATTCTGCCTTGTGGTATGTCTCAGAAGGGAAGCTGTCCATCTCTGTGCAGGACACATGGGCAACTGGCACCACCTTAATCATGGGGTACGTTCCCCCCCACCCCCAGCAACCAGTCAGTGACTGGGAGGGAGTCCCCTCGTGGCTGATCCCACTGACTCAGGAGGGGGTGGGGCATCCCCCACAGCCAATTGTGAGGTGGCCGATCACTGTGGCTGCTTCCCGAAGCGACTGCAGCCATTTCTGGGAGCACCATGGCACTCCCACTCCCTGGCCAGCGCTTACAGGGGGGGCACTGGCACTCCCATCTGCCCCCACTGCCCATTGCCTTAAGTGGCAAGTGCAGCTGGTCAGGGGGTGCACCAGCACTCTCAGGTGGTACGCGTGCACCCCTGTGAACCCTCTATGCGTCACCGCTGGCAAGATGCTAATATTGAACAGTTATTAAATTTCATGCAGAATGTTTGTAGAGGATTGACTTGAGTCCTTCCAGGTTCTTGACACAGGAAACTGAAGCCATTAGCATCCTCCTTAAGAATAGTGTTAAACTATAGCTTTCTTCATCCCAACGTGCTCTACAAATTGCATGCAGGAAATATTTTCTGCAACTAAAATTAAGATATTGCTTGTGTTTAACACAAAAGATATTCTGTTTTCACAGAACATAAGTTTAGATCAGACAGTGCATAAGCATGAAGATAATAAGTAATAAGCTGGTAGGAAGGCTGCAAGGGGAAACATGAAGGAAGGAATAAAGAAGTGGGGATAGGGTAAGGAAAGTGGCAATGGGAAAGTGTAATTGCAAAAATAGTAGGAGAAAATGGAAGAAAAAACAGAAAAGAAAATAAGAGAACTGCATCCCTGCTCTCTTCCAACATGTTATCAAATCAAAGGGGTGTAGGTTGGGGGTTGTATTGCTCCCAGTCTGGGCTCCTCTGATCTGACATGGGGGAAGGGGAATATTTTTCCCCATTTACTGTCAGCACAATAATTTGAAAGATCCTGCATGAATCCTGTGTACATTGGCACACCCTGACTCTAAAACATGTTTGGAAAAAATGGAGGTTTTAAAAGTTGACACCTAATATGGCCCTTCATGGCTTTCACCTGTAATCACTGCCTTGGGTGAAGTCTAGCTTGTTAACAGTGGAATTCCTATCTCATGGTTATTTCATGGGCTGTATGGAAATACTCCCACCATTATCACTACTACAAGGAATGCTAATTTTCTCTGTCCTGTGTCTAGCTGGTTTAACTAAAGCTCTTCCCATAGCCAGTGAAGTTACTCTTTCACTAATAATGTTGAAAAGCAACCCTCTGAGGATGATGTTCCTGAGTTAGTGTTTTCTTAATAGTGTCTGTATATATAATTCATTGTTATATAACAGGATATAACTTGCAGTTGATCTCTTCAACCTGGCTTGCCATTACAGCTGCCAGCAGAGGTCCAGCTCAGGATGTACTCTCAACAAGCCGCTTATTTCCATACGTGAACCCCTTTGTTTTGCACTTTGCTGCAAAGCAGTTAAAGTGCTTTTGCATTAAAGCACCAACCACAAACTGAATATAGTTTGGTTATGGTTGTGTATATATTAGTCTTTCCAGCTTCTCTGCATTCTAAGCAAAAACCATATATTTGGTGCTCAGTGTTCCATATTCATGGTTAAAACAGAATGCACTCGGTTCAGCATTCAGTAAAGGATATTGTAAGCATTTGAATTAGCATAGTATCTGAATGGTTTTTATATTTTCGTAAAATATATGGGCTGGTGTCCTTTTCCAATCTGCTTTATCCCTATTACTTTCACACGGTTTTCCTTCTTCTTTAATATGAAAGTAATAACCATCATTAAACAAGACACCCCCTTGTCTCTAAGGTAACTGCTACCCAAAAGACAGATTTGTTAGTTTTCACCAATTGCAGTCGACTAATTAAATGAACTCTGAAGGCAGGGAACAAAGACAAAGGCATTATCATCATTTGTAATTTTTAAGTCTTTTTAAAATGCAGCCTACTAAACTGCTGGTAAAAGCCAATGTATGAAATTTTTAAAGTTTCACTATGCAGAGAGAAATTCATTGGGAGGTGTGTGGTCACACACCACTGAGCTTTCTTTCCACAGTTCATGTGAGCCTCTGAGGAGTCTTGAGATTGATTTAATCTTTCACCAAATGCCATGGGAGGAAGGAAAAAGAAAATCAATTCCAAACTCTCAGGCAAGCACTTATTGCCATCCTTAAGAATATAAAAAGTAAAGCCTAATCCTGACTCTGCCAAACAGTCTAATTAGTTTTTGAAGTTCACCTTTAAGTTGATCAGAGGAAATGGCAAGCAGACTTTAAACTTCAGTTAGAACACAAAATGATTACATTATTCAATAATATAACTCAAGCTTCTTTTTTAAAGTCCTTTGGATGTTATGTGTTTAGAGATGCCCAATTTAGTCCTTGGTGAAAGAAGGGACACTTTGTGCTGGCAGAAGTCATTGCACAGCTAATATACCAGTTTATCTGAAAGACTCTGGGCAAATAAGGGTGTTGATCAATGGCTAAACCTAATGCATTGTAATTAGTGATGAACAAACCTTCTAAGATTAATTAGTTATTGCTAGCCAGGTACTTTGAAAATGATGAAGTGCTTAGCTACTGCTCAGCATTATTAAACAGGTCAGAGCCTGATTCAGGTAGTACTTAGATGTTAGACTGCTTAGTTAAATTTCATCTGATTCTCTCTCAATCTCTCAGGGCTACCAGGGCTGAAATAAAAATCTCATGCACTCCTCTTCTTTCCCAATATATTCATCCTCCAGTCATTGGATGGGAGTGTATGGGAAGAGGATAATGTAACTAAGAATCCTGATCCTTCAGAAAAGGTGAATTGCAGCTCTTGACTTTCTCCAAGCTACTGTTCATAGTAAATAGGCTGGAGCATGCTGGTGCCTTAGGAACCCGAGTCATATCTGATACCACCATATCTGGCGTGTTTTAAGCTCAGAAACCAACTAACAGATTTGAGGCCAGGCAGGAGGTTTTGCCCCAGGTCAGGCTGCCAAGGATCACTGAGTTTTTTCCTCTTTCTCTGTCCCATGGGATTGTGTGTTCTCATTTGGGCATACTAGAACCTAATTTAATTTTCTGGCACTGCTCTAGCAAGGCACTGGCTAGTACCCTTGTTTCCTCTGCTCTTTACCAGTGACCTAATAGACTTCCATTCCTCACCCTCCTACCCTGCTGGTTGTATCAGCACTATGTGAAAGACACAAGAGTAGGCATTCTTGGGGATCCTACTGGACAAGTGGTTACTTGCAAGGGGAAGGGAGAGGACAGGATGACTTGGAAGGCCGTCAGTTCTATAAAACCTGGCCCCAGAACATCTTAGAACAACTAGCTTTCTAAATCCACAAAAGAGCCATTGAAATACACACTGCAACAGGATATTGTGTATGTGACCACTGCGGTTTATCTATAGTTCCTGATGACTTTTGTTCTAGCCACTTTTAAGAAATTTTAAAATATTGTACAGTATTGAATGCATATCCTAAACTTATGTTCTTTGAATGCAAAATCTCGTGTTAAACCCAAGCAATATCTTCATTTTAATAGCAGAAAATATTTCCTGCATGCCGTTTGTAAAGCACACTGGGTTGAAGTAAGATGTAGATATTTTAACAATGCATCTAATTACTGTTTCTCTCCTTAACTATAACTAGGGACCTACCTAATTCATGGAGGCTGCCTCTGTATTTTGTGGTCCCAGCACAGCATCAGATGCCATTTTCACAGTGGACCACGGACTGTGGCAAGTCTGCGCCTCCCCCCCGCCACTGGCTGAGGGGCCCAGGAAGTACCATCTGTTCCTGGAGATTAGAAGATGGCCCCCGGTCAACCTCTCAGCAGGGAAGAACTTCTGGGGCCCCTTGGCCAATCAGAGGCACAGGGAGGCCCTCTTGCCCCTCCCTGGAGATTGACAGGCAACCAACTATCAATGTCCAGGGAGCAGCGGGACTTCCAGGGCCCCTTGGGCAATCAGAGGCATGGGGTGACCCGCCACATAAAAAGGCAGATCTAATGGAGCCTGCTGTGCTCTACTGTGAAAATCCCCCCCCACTCCTGTGCTTCAGGATGCCAGGGCTTCCTGCCTCTGTTTGCAGCTTCCTACCCTGCTCTACCCCCCACTTCCCTGCTTTTTGTGGTCCCCGCACTTTATCATGGGGACTAGAGTTTTTTTCCACAGGGGAATGACCAAATTTGCAGTTTCTGTGAAAACTGCAAAATCATGAATTTGGCAGGTCCCTAACTGTAACCTTCGGGTGACTCTTCCCTGTCCTACACCCTTGGTGGCAACTCAAGCTTTAGTGGAATTTGCAGTAACTGGAAACGCCCTGTTGAAACCCATAGCATTATTTTTTGGGGCTAGATTTCAAGATGGCAATCCATACCCGTGCATTTTTTACAATGCTTAGTGGTGCTCCAGTTTCTGAGAGGTACAGCTGTGATGAAAACAACATCCTTGCTGTTTCTAAGGAAACAAACATGATACTTTCCCATCCCATCTCATACTCCCAAAAAACACCCCCTTCCCACAGCTTTCACTTTTTCTAATAAGCATGACTCCTGGCAGGTTGTTTTTAACCCAAAGAACAGGGTTTACTCCAAATGGACTAAATGTTAGGTTAACATCAATGTATGCAAAGTCCTAGTTTGAATTACCACTGATAACTGAATTATCACTGATAACTGGGCTGAAAACTTCTTCGTGCAATACACCCTGAAATTTGTAACAAATGCTGCCTGTCCATTTTTCAGAAACTAAATTTTTATTTGTTGTATGCTAGGGTGTTTGTTTCAGGTGTATTTTGATATTTGTAATTGAGTCACTTCTTTTCTGCATGCCTGTTAGAGCTGCCTTTTTACTCTTTGGGCAATTGAAAAGCTTTTTCTTGGTTGCATCTACTCCACTTATATAGTTGGGTTTCTGCGTGTACTTCTTGGACTAGAAGAAGCATAAGATCTCTTCAGAAGTTGGAGCTAATGTGGCAATGGGGCAAGTAAGTTGCTTCCATAATAGTGCATTTTAAAGAGGCTTATTTAAAAGGAACACTGTGCAAATTGGCAAGATGACTTTCTGCAAGCAGGCCCCTAATCTTGGGGAAAGATGGTGTGTTCTTTGGAGGCTATGATCTGTCAACCATTATGATATTCACTCCCCTTGCTGAAGAGTGAGTGTCAAAGTAATTATCTGAGTATCAAAATAATGGCTTCAGTGTTCTATGTTTGAAAAGGAACGGATGAACCAAGGTTTTGGAGGAAATAATCCAAATTCATTCTCCTTTGATTGTATCATTTTGATTTATTTGAAGCACCTCTAGCATTCTAGCTACTTTTATGTTCTTTGTAAAGCACACACATACAATAAATAGAGCCAAATCAATAAAACAATTAATCCTTCTCCTAACCTACTTCACATCCAATGCTCTTATAGTCTAAAACAGAAGGCAGAGTAGTATTCTCATAGGGTAACTCACTGAAAGAGGCATGAGCTTCTGTAGGTTGCAGCCTACTTCATCAGATGGTATGAATGGACTTGCAATGACCAGAGTTACTAAATGGAAAGGAATAAAGTCATTAAAACATGTAGCATAGATAAAGGAGGAAGTAAGAAGGCACCTTGCTGAGAGGTATAAGTGGGTTGAAGAGATCAAAAGGGATAAAGAAAACAATTAATAATTGATGGATATATATATATAGGGATTATAAAAGCTATTCCAGGTAGTGGGATAAGACCATTCTGAGACCATACTTAACACAAACCACCTTGCCTTGCCTTCTGCCTAACTTTAGACTAACATCTCTAACTGCTCCTCTCTACTCTTCTGAAGTCATTCCAGAGAGAACCTGGGAAAATGGAGAAGGCTTTCATGTACTGAAGGTCAAAAAGTCTGGAATCTATCAAATAAATTAAGTGCATGCCTACAGTAAAATCATCCTGCCACCAGCTCTATCCCTTTCAAATGATGGTAGGTTGAAGTAGGATGGAGAGCTGAAGGGAAAGCATGCCCCATCTAAGTCAAGCAAAACATCTGGAAGTGTCTACTTTGAATTCTGGTTTCAGTCTAAAGCATCAGTTTATTTCATAGAAAAGTTAAGCAAACAACAACACACAGAGAAGAACATCTTCTCAGAGCTCTTTGTTCGACTCGCAGGCTCAGCAGGGATTTTGTAAGCATACTGGCAACTTATGGCAGGTATGTAAAAGTATTATTCTCTAGAAAGGTCCTGTATCACATCAGCCACCACACTTATGCAAGTCTTAGCCGTGGTAAATCAGGGTATACCTAACTCCAAAGTACCCACTTGTATTTCTGATGAGGCAAAATAATTAATCAGACTCTTTGAGACAGACCAAGATACTTCCAGTCTCTGTCTCCTTGAACTAGTCTAAACATACTTTCTTCCAAGAAAGGAATGATCATGCATGCTTATTGCTTACTGCTGAATTGCTGCCACTAACTGCTAAAAAAAGCCTGTATAAAGAGCAGCAACAGAACTACAAATAGGAGGGAATGGGGTGTTGGCATAGTGAAGAGTTGGGAGAGGGAAAACCAAAAGGAGTAAAAGGTGCAGCTGAAGTGAAGAGAGGTTGGGAATAAACAGAGAAATAATGATGAATAAGCAATGCTAGACAGGACTTTCATTTGAGCCAACCTAGCTTCAGCAAGATTCTTCTTTCCCAAGCACAGGCTTTCCTACAGTGAGAAAGACATAAGGATTTCAGTTGGAAAACTGGCTCTCTCTGCCAGGGGAAATAGTATAGTGTTAAAGGCTAGGGGAAAGGGTTGAGTTCAAACTCATCCTAGTTTTACAAACTCTTCAAACTCCAGGAGATAAACAGCAGCCATTATTGGTCCTATATTGTACATGAATCTTATCAGTAGCTGTAATGATTGTCATTTGACAAGTAGTGATTGGTCTGCATTCAGCCAAACTGTCTCCTCTACCTCAGTTGGCAAATGAACAACTGAGCTAATGTAACCATTGTATGTTCACAAGTCCAATGTGCTCTTGATTGTTAAATAAGGCTGTTATTTTAAGCTTAATGATAAATGTACAATAATTTATTAATCTATAATTGCTCACCCAATGTGTTTTTTAATGAAAAATGATAAAATTATCCCCTAACCTATTTTAGATGTTAATTGCATGGCTGCCCCTTCCTTGTTCCAGGGCGCAGTCCCTGCGGAGAAGTCCCAAAGCTTGCCCGGCCAGGGGAAGATGCTTTTATACTTTGTCTAGGTGGTTGTGTTATTGTCACATGAGGGGGTGGTGCCATGGTTGCTCCTCTTCCAGGGCAAGTTGCATTGCTGTTTTTTGCCTTACTTCCTTCTTTAGCTCCTGGGCTGTTTTTATTAGTAGAGTCTGATTTGGTATCTTGCATCAGCAAAGAAAAAATAAAAGATTGAAGACAGGTGTAAAGATTACTTTTGTTATTATGGTTAAAGTAAATGCTTTTTCTTCATGTATTTCCAGTAGCAGCTGCCATTTTAATACACAATAAGCCAATGCTTATAAATCTCAGCTCATGGTGCCCACCCCTCCCCGCAAACCCTAGCATCTGTCTCTGAGGATTGGTTGGAGACAGTGGGTCCAGGACATGACACTGCCCCAACCCTGATTCCACCATTGCGTAGGGCATGGCTGTCATGGACCCTGGGGCTGCTCAAGGTAGATCTCTCTGCTCAGCTGAGTGTCAGGATCTGTTATGGGTCATTCCCAGCATGCTGTATGTTCAACTTGAAGTGCAATACAAATGAGCCACAACAACATTTCATGTTATATCACCATGCCACAAAATGGCTTTAACATGTGACTGGGTTCCTATTTATGGTGCAATTAATACCCAATATCATCTTAAATTTAACTTGTGTCAGGACGCATAGTCTCATAAAATGTACCCTGAGGTATGGTCATAAAATTCCCTTGCTGTGGTGTCTCTGAGGTCAGTATGTGGCCTAATTTCTTTATTCCTGTAATCATCTCTCAGTTAGTCCCCCTTCTGCCCCGAAGTGTACAATAGTTTTTACCTGCTGTTGGTTGGGACTGACTCCCACTCTTTGCACTTGGCGTGAGAAAGTCCTCTAAATCTTGTGTTGCCAAGTTAGTGGTAGCTTTGTTGTTCCTCTTATTTTTCTCCTCTTCACGTTGCTGCACCAATTAAAATCGTTAGATTTATGTTGCAATTGAATGTATTTTGCCAAATAGCTACTTGCTATTATAGGATTCCTGAAAGGTATTTTTGTGGAATTCATAAATTGTAAGGCCGGAAGGGACCTCGGAAGATCATCGGGTCCAGCCCCCTGCATCAAGCAGGAAAGATAACTGGAGGCCAGATGACCCCAGCAACGTAACTGTCTAGTCTCCTCTTGAAGATTTCCAGGGTAGGTGATTGCACCACCTCTGGAAGAAGCTTATTCTAATCACCTACCCTGGAGATTGATTGGTCAGCCTTAGATCCATGAATTTTTTGGGTTTCATTTAAGAAAAAATATTGGGCCTGGCAAGTTAGAGCCCTAAAAACAAAAAGGGACAGTTTATAACAATTGCTTTTAAGTCTGTCAAAGATATGTCCTTCTGCACCCACCCTTATATTTCTTATTACAGATTTCTTTGGCTGAAGGTGATGTGCAGGTACATGTATTTAACAGTGTACCCAGGAACTATGTTCTTTGTCAGACTTGGATTCCAAGTCATAGCATTATTTCAGTGAATGGCAGAGTCAGTTCAGAAGAAAGGCATTTCCCTCAGGTCCTTCTGTGCATTCTCAGACTGTCAGTGCCAAGAAATCCTCCTGGTTCCCATCATCTGGAATGGTATTGTACCTTCTGACCCACTAGGTTCTTCTCTCCCTAATGAGTGAAGATAATGATACTAACCATTTTCATTAGGGTAGTTTGGGAACTATAGGTAAGCAATGCTGTTATGGTTGAACTATTGTATTCCTCCTGTTATTAACACGGCCTTTTCATAATGTTATAAAACATAAGTTAATTTAGAAGCACTTGTTCATCTCTGGAAATCTCATTTCCCTTTTGGTATTCATTGTACCAGCATTAGTGGTAATGAATATATTTGGAGACAGACTTTAGTTTTAAGGTGTGACGTACGGTTCTTGGGAAATTTCAGTGTCATTTTAATATCTATTAATATTATTATTAAGTGTTACCCATGTGGCACTTAGTAACTGAACACCAAAAAGGATGATTTTCCACATCGTATGATCTATACAGAAAATGCATTACTCCTATCATAGTTCCATTCTGTGGTTTAAAGGGAAAAGCAATTAGATTAACAACTTGTATATCAAAATGTGTGTGTGCAGAATATCAAAAATGTTTTGGCTGGGTAAATCAGAGGCTTACCATTTGCATTTTCTTCTTCAGTTCTGCATTGGCATGTTGATATGCTTCAGCCACTGCATTCAGGTAGTAGATGGCTAGACTATAAAAATAAAAACTATTGTTGTGATGACAAGATAAATATAGGCCTATCCCAGAAAGAAGATATGCATATAACACCTGCAGTTAGTGTATGCATATCCATCAGGTAAACTTGCAGATGAAAACACTGAGAATTCTTTCAAAAGCATTGAATTGCTTGAACACCAAACAGTAAATATGTTTTCTTTTATTTGATACACTGCTTGCCAGTTTTGGGAAACAAAAAAGTAGTATGTTGGAAAAGAACTCAGTACTGGAGGTCACTGGTCCAAAGCAGAAGTAGCAGGCCAACTGGGCAAAAGATATTGAAAGGATATAGAAAAGATAACAGATGCCCAAAGGCTATGTGTGTTCATCAGTGATGCAATAACACTGATTTTAAGAAAGGTTTCACTGTGGTCTACTCTGAGCAGTCATTAGTTTCATAGCTGACATATATACTACAAGATCACCCAAGGAGCACAGATTGCTTACCTTGAGTTCCTAGGGTATGTCTATTTTATGGTGACAACATGTATTGATCATGAGACTTTCATAAGCAATGCCTTATTCACCTACTCCCTCCCGAGTGCTTCAGGGCAGTGACCAAAATCTTGAGCAGGGGTGGGCAATTATTTTGGCTGGAGAGCCACTTAATGCATTTTGGTGAGCTGTTAATGGCCACAAGGGTAGCCCCACTTCTTGACAGGTGCCCTGCCCCCTGGTTGCCATTTTAGGGCTGGAAGTCCTGCCCCTAACCCTTGATCTTTGCCACTGGAAGTCCCTTCCCTTGCCCCAAGAAGTACTCCTTTTAGGGGGGGAGGGTTGCCAGATTGAAATGAGAAAAAAACAAAACATATAGTCTTGGGGTTTTGATTGACCACAAGATGAACATAAGCCACCAGTGTGATGCTGTGGCCAGCAAAGCAAACCAAACTCTGGCATGCATCCACTAATACATCTCAAGCAAAACCAGGGATGTCAGCCTCCCACTTTACTTGGCCTTACCACTTTACTTGGCCTTAGTGAGGCCACAGCTGGAGTACTGCATCTAGTTTTGGGCCCCCCACTTCAGGAGGGATGTGAATAAGCTTGAGAGAGTCCAGAGAAGAGCCACTCATATGATCAAAGGCCAAGAGAGCAAGCCTTACAAGGAGAGGCTGAGCGACTTGGGACTCTTCAGCCTGGAGAAGAGAAGAATCAGGGTGGACTTATAAGTATATAAAGGGTGAGCACCAGGATCTGGGAGAACCAGAGCTCCCCAAGGGATAACAAGGTCTAACGGCCAGAAACAATTTAGACTGGGCATAAGGAAATACTTCTTTACAGTCCAAATGTCAAATGTCTGGAACAGACTCCCCTCAGAGACGGTGCAGGCAATTCCCACATTGAAGCAAATCCTATAACCACTAGACAAGTTTTCCATTTAGACTAGGAATTATTTTGCTCCACAGCTTTGAACTGAACTGTTGCTAATAGGTAGAGATTGGGAAATTTGTGCAAACAAGCCAGGTTTGAGTGGAATTATGGCTTTGGGCTTGACCCCCAAAAAGGAGAAACCAAAAAAATAAAGCCAAATGAGAAGGAAACAAAAGGTGAAGGGGATTGGAGGAGATGTACTGGCAGGCAGTCTTTCAGTTGCAGTGAGACACATATTTTAAAATGCTGAAGCATCTGAGTCTGTCTCATCATCACTGCTGCCAGCCACTGATATTTTGGTTGTCAGATGTCTCATCCTGCTTTTGTAGAATAATTTTATTCTTTTTAAAATACAAATATCATCTGTTCAGTGACTCTAAGCCATCCCTGAAAGATCCATTTGGTTCACCACTGTTGATTTTTATCCCCCTCCCCAATATGAATATGTATTTTGGATGTGTACAAAACTTTCTGACAGTCTATAGTTTGACTGTGTAGTCATGGCTTCATAGCTAAGCGAGACTGCAAGGAGTGTTTGTTTTTTTGTTTTGCAGAGTAGATTAAAAAAGAGGGAGCATCTAAATTTTTGGAGGTTTTTTTTTTTTTTTTTTTTTT